GTGTGTGTGTGCGCGCGCGCGCGCGCACTCTATTTACTCGCTGTCACTTTCCTACTGGGCAGATTTCCATCCCCATGTCTTTTGGCTAGTAGCATCCTCTGAGAACAGGGTATAGGATCCTATTCATTCCAGGAATGTCCTACCTCATACCCTGGAGAGAGGAATGACAAAAAAGGGGCCAAGAAGAGTCTGAACCAATAGCCTTGCTGAGTTTCTCCGCCTATTCTATCAGCAGCCATACTGATACAGTGAGGACTTCATAAAATGTAAGAGAGCAGGATTTAGAGATATTTCATATCCGTGAACATGTTGAGGTTCTTGAGGAGTGGTGCTCCAGGAAAGAACATGCAATCTCCGTGTTAATATGCATCTCTTCATTGGTAGCTTCAGTAACATCATTTATAATAAATTGGTAAATGCCCCTTTCTCGAGTTCAAGCAGACTAATCACACCCAGCAAGGGGGCTTTGGAACTCAGACTTATAGTCAGAAGCATAGACAAAAACAATCTGAAACTGGCAACTGGCAGAAAAAGTGTACATGAGGGAGCATTTTGGAGATGGAACCCTAAAACTTGCATTTCATGGTGTTTTGTACTAGGATGCTTTTTAAAGTAATGTATTCTGCCATCTTATTTATTAATTAATTTATTTTTTCCCTCATTGAATTTATTGGTACATTTTAGGTGTACAGTACAGTTAGATTCATTATTGGGATCTTGTACCTTTACATGACAGGTCTTGGTTCTCATTTTTTCCCCTGGTTCCTGCCCTCCCTTCATCCCCTCCTCTCCTCCCCATTTACAAACATTTTATTTCCATTTTTTTCATTTTCTCCTATTTTTTTCTTTTCCTTATTACCTTTCCCCTACATTTCCCACTCTTCCTACACCTTTAGCCCTTTTCTTCCTATTTCACATGGTTAATTATCTCATTAGGATCTTATATACTATTATAGTTCCTTCACACCAGAGAAACTATTCGGTATTTACACATGTGACTTGTTTATTTCACTTAGGAGTACATCCTCAATATGTAACCATTTTCCTATGAATGGATCTACTTTCTCATTCTTTACGGCTGAGTAGTACTCCATTTTATAGAAAAAACACATCTTCTTTATCCAATTTCCAACTGATGGATATTCTGCCATCTTGCTGGAAAGAGAATCCATAATTGTACTTCATTTGTTTACACAGAGGCTCTCAAGGGCCATGTGGTAAAGCGCTGATTTAGGTTTGGAAAGTGTGTCACTCTGATTGAGATGGGATTGAATGGAATGTGAAGGAGGACGAAACTGGGACGCAGCCCTGGTGGCCGGGATGAAGGCTAAGTGTTAACTGTCAGGACAGGGAAAAGTGAGAAGTTTGCTGTGAGAGAAGCACAGGGCAGACGCAGGGGAGTCAGAGGACAAACTGGAGCAGGGTAGGAGGGAGAAGGAGAAGCCTCATACAAGACGTGGTGATGACAGGCAGGCGGTGGGTTTTTGTGGGAGAAAAAGTGAAGTTTCTTTTGCTGAAGAGGAGAAGTCGGACGAGGGGAACTCACATCTGAGTTATGAGGAAAGCTTTGTGGAATACGGAGTAACTCAGGTATGGTGCTGTTGAGAGGAGTAAAACATGGGACATTAGAAAAGAATGTGAGTGTGCTGCGACCTAAGCCCCAGTGATTCCAGAAGCGGGGCCCTCAGCAGGGACGTGGACAGAGGGAAGAACGCCGACTCTCCTCAGAGAGCTGGGACTTTGCCCGGCTGCGTTCGAATTGGCGTGTGCCCTGCTCATGCCCATCCTCATCCCAAGTTTTGCTATGACCGGGGAGCTCACAGTTACAGCGACCTGTATAATCAAGCAGCTCCTCTCTCAATTGTTTTCTCTTCCTCTGGACTTACCTTCCCACCGATTTATGTCTTGATTTTCTCCTACGGTCTTGCTCTGTCTCAGGTTCTCCAGTTCTTCGAACAGCTCAGCCTGCTCCTGCTGGGGTGGAGTGGGAGGCTGCCTTCTTTCTCATGTTTCTGATCTTGTCCTTCATCCATCATAACTAAAGACACACCCGAGGGCAGAGCTGGCTAGGAGGCTGCAGTCTGTGGTGTGAACATGACTCACGCCCCAGGGGTTACCCCTATCCCTCCTCAGAATCAGTTCTGTTTCCATCCAGATCTGCTCCGCTTCTTTTTCTAGCCTTCCCCCATCTCCTCTCCTCTTCCCTTCCCAGCACGTGTTTGTCCCTTAGTGTCTTTTAACACCTCTGAACCTTTTGGTTCCCGAATTTTGTTTCTTACTTGCTTAATTTTATTTCTTTACTTTCCCAATGAAATCAACTTGTCTTTTCCATGCTTTCCCCACCATGTGCTTGAGAGCGTAGGGCAAATATCTTAGGGAGTCTGGGCAAAATAAAAATGTGCAGCTTTTTCTTAGCCCATTCAGGCTGTTGTTACAGAACACCATGGTCTTGGACGCTCATAGGCACCAGGAATTTATTCCTCACAGTTGTGTACCCTGGGGGAGCTCAAGACCCAGATTTGCTGTCTGGTCGGGTTCCTGTTGCTTTATACAGTGTAACTTCTGGATATGTCCTCTCATGATGCAAGGGACTAGGAGACTCTCGGTGACCGCTTTAGAAGGACACCAATCTCATTAATGTGGGCAGCAACCTGAGGTCCTAAACTCCTTCCCAAGGCTCCCTGTCCTAATATATCATTGCCTTAGGAGTTAAGATTTCAACTTATGAATTTTAGGAATAAAAAGAATATATATCATAGTAGATCTGTGTTCACAAAGGAAAAAAGTACCTCAATCAATGATATTTAAATACAAAACTTTTTTATTTCCTCTGAAGTTTCTGTCTCTGATCTTGTTACAGTCTTTGGTTCTGTTTTACTATCATTTTTATTTTGCTTACTTTGTTAATGTTACATTCTTTAGGGGAGGGCCCATGCAAAATCCAGAGCATGAGAGAGATTAGCTAAACCTGATGGTCTCAAAAACAAACAAATAAAAACGACCTCCCCAAATACCCTAAATAGAAAACATTCACCTAAAAAATAGGTAAACACAACCAGTTTTTTTGGGAAAAGGACAATAACCTTGGAGGAAGGAATGCATATTCCTTGAACGACCCAGTTAATCACATAAATTTAACCTGAGACCACTTTCAGGGCAAGTACATCCAGATGCATTTTCTCTTCCTCTCTGAATGCCTACCATTTTGCAAGAAACTCTGCTTATACTGAATATTATAGCCCAGATGTCTTATCTGATACAAATCTTTAGTCAAAGACACAAAGAATTGAGGTATTTTTTTTGTTTCCCCCAGGGTTTGGAACAAGTGATCTTGTAACGACTTCCACAGATGCGAGAAAACATATTGTACTGATCTTTCTATATCTGGCTTATTTCAGTTAAAACACTGTCTTATAATTTCATTAATTTTACTGAAAATGATAGGATTTTGTTTTCTTTCTATTCATGATCATGCCCATCTTTCAGCAATGGGCTGCACTTGTTACTTGATACTTGCTACCTGCTTGGGCAAGGGAGTAGGGCCATTAATTTTTGTTCTGGTTCAGCCTCATTCTTAAGAAGGTGACTTGTTTTTGAATATTTAAGGTTTTGGATCAAATACTTGTTCCTCCTTTTCTACCAGCAGTTTGGGACCTCATGTAGTTTAGGAGCACGACTTTTCTCTTATCCTTTTCCATTTTTTCCTTCCCTACAGCTGCAGTGGTTTGTCTCCTGTACCCAGAGGGAAGAAGGACTTTTTGCTCTTCTCCTACCAGGTTAAAGTTTTTGTGGGTGGGGAAGGTAGAGGAGCAAGATTTCATTGGAACTTCCCGCTTTTCACATAGTATCTGCTGTCAACTTCAGTCCTGCCCCCTAAAAGAGGGTTTATTTGGGTTTCTTACTTCCAAGTTTTCAGGGGCCCTGGGTAGATACATGGAAAAGAGCCTAGACAGTGATGTGAATCCCAGTTTATGTGAATGCCAGAGCATCCACGTGCTCATCCAAGACATTAGTGATTGGTTGACAAAAATTTTAGCTGAATTTTTCTTAGTGGTTTGTTATAGCATCTGCACCTGTTCCAAGGAAGGATGACTTTTCATCCCATTTTTCCTTAGATTTTCTGTTATGTGGTTGACTCTGACTTTAAGTCTCTGATGAATTCATAAGTTGTGATTTTGATTGTCCAGTTTTTTTTTCTCATTGAGTTTATTGGTACATTTTAGGTATACAGTACAGTTACATTCATTATTGGGATCTTGTACCTTTACACGACAGGTCTTGGTTCTCATTTTTTCCCCTTGTCCCCGCCCTCCTTTCACCCCCTCTTCCCCTCCCCCTTTACAAACACTTCATTTCCATTTTTTCATTTTCTCATATTTTTTTCTGGCAGGTGCAAAGAGACTGTTTCAAAAGGGGCATTTTTCTTCATATTTCACTGTTCCTGTGAATTCTCTGATAGCTTCTCACCCATCTCTAAGAATAATAGAGGATTTCTAATAGATTATGTTACAGTACAGGGTGATCAGAGGATTACAAAGATGTAAATAAAGGAAACAGGAATAAATCAGAGATGTAGATATTATGGAGTTGAGGATGAGGTAGGAAAGAGAACACAAAGGAAATAATTCAAAAGGGTGAGAGGACAGAAAAACAAAATGCACACGGCCTTGGATTTGATCCTCAGGATTGAAAAAAAAAATGTTCCCAGTTGTAAAGTGACTTTGCAATGCCACATAACAGTTGTTCTACTGAGCAATACAGCTAGGGGAATGTGAGCAGGATGGAAGTTGGCGTCAGAGAGAAACTGGAAGCCTGAGGGAGAGTCAGAACCAGAATGGAGATGAGCACTGAGTGGGAGGCTCACGGTTTTGGGAAAGAGTAGATCTTGGTCGTCTTGTCCAGAAGACTCTTCATTAGAGAAGGAAGTCAGAAGAGTAAACCTGGGAGTAGGTTCATTTATAACAGAAACCAAAGACCAGCTTTTCTGAGAGAAAGAAATAATGCCCGCAAGTGCCACGCTGTTGCTGCTACTTCCACTGCAAGCCGCTCTCATCCTAGGCAATGACAATGAAGTTGGTAAGAACTCTGGTGCTTGTTCAGTTGGGTGCAGAAGATTGCGTGTGTGTGTGTGTGTGTGTGTGTGTGTGTGTGTGTGTGTGTGTGTGTGTCTTACTTTCCCCTGTGTATACCTGGGAAACAAGAGTGCCAGCTGACTATTCCTGGATGCTAGAGTTCTAGTGTGAGTTTTGCTGACTGTAGATCCCCGTGGTCCTCTGAAGGTTGTGGATAAAACCATGGGACCCTATGGCAGCCAAGGTCTGCTCAGAAAACCATGGTTCTCTTTTTCATTAGATCGAGAGCTCCCTTACTCTAGCACGTTTCTTTCCTCATTCACTTTCCCAATGTCTTTTTTCTCCCCTTTATTTATTTATTTATCCTCCCCCATAGGGATCCAAGGGCCTATCACTTCCCATGTTACCTGGAGCTCCTCCTTTTACAATCACTCCTCAGCACAACATCAGGTCTCAGACTCGCAGGTGGAACAGCAGCTCAGAGTCCATCATTTTCCTGTATCTCTGGTCCAGGGGCAAGTTCAACACAGAGCAGACAGAGCTGGAAATGTCTGTCAAAAGGAGCTTCATCACATTTCACACCTAGGTAATAGCATTTCAATTTGAATGTGAGCTCAATTCCTTTGGCGAGGAGAGGAGAGGAGAGGAAGGGGCTTGGGCGTATCTGCTTTTTATTCCTCTATGAACATCCTGTTCTTTCTTCTGCTTCTTAACTCCTGTTTCTCCAGCAGAAAAGTATAATCATACACTTGAGGAAGATGATCAGATTCAGACCACGATTCTACAAAAACTTCACTCTTCTGGTACTTTTGAAGAATTCTCACATTGATTGTGGGGTTGTGCTTTATAATCTTTCTTCATAGATAGCTTGTGGCAGGTCACCTTTTCTTGGATTTCAGTCAGGTATGCTCAGTTTCCTCTCTGGCTCTTTAATTATTATTATTTTTTGTCCCATTCAATCTCTTCAGTGTTCTCCTATGCAGACATTGTAACCATGGGACCCAATCTATCCCGCTGGTTATAATCCCAGCACTTTCACACTAAATCCTCCTCCTCCTCCATCATTCATGTCACCTTCGTTGAAGAGATGGTCCCTTTCCTCATGTTATTCATTTTTCTCCTCCACCACCAGCACCTACTAATTTCTTTTTCTCTGAAACTCTAATCAACAAAACTGTGTTCTATTCCTTTCAACTCCAAAAGTTCTCTCTTCTGCTCCTTGTTTTCACTTATACCACCACTTTGACCTCTTTCCTCTAATTAAGAACCTCTCTTCCTCAGATCCCTCCACGGTGCTGTCAGCAACGGGCTGTGAGCTGCACTCTGGGGAGGGCATAGTAGCCTCCTACCAGATAGGTTATTAAGGATCCAATTTTTTGAGCCTCCTAAGCAATTCGTGGCTACCATCTCTAAAGGGTGAACAAAAGGCTCAGACTGTCTACAGACTAGTCATTCAGCATCTAAGAATCGAAGAAATAATTCAGAGGCTCCTCAGTGACCTGTGTCCATGTTTCACCTTGGGTGTTCTTGAAGCTGGGATGGGTCATCTCCAGAGACAAGGTCAGTCCTGTGTCCTGTTGCCAAAGTTTTCTATTCTAAAATTATGCCTTCTCCTTCTTGTTTTTTCCCCTTTCTCTTTGGGGATAAAAATAAATGAAACACCAGAAGAGGATGAGCACCAGATTTCCAGAAGCAGGAAAGTTTTGTCTATGTAAGGTGACATAGACATCTGAATCTCTAAGGGTATGTTTGAGTCATTATCTGAATCACTTCCTGTCCTTTGTAGAAAGGTCAGAGGCCTGGCTGTCCAGGGGTCCCAGTCCTGGGCCTGGCCATCTGCAGCTGGTGTGCCACGTCTCTGGCTTCCACCCGAAGCCCGTGTGGGTGATGTGGATGCGGGGTGAGCAGGAGCAAGGGCCTGGCCCTGCAGCTGGTGTGCCACGTCTCTGGCTTCCACCCGAAGCCCGTGTGGGTGATGTGGATGCGGGGTGAGCAGGAGCAGAAGGACACTCAGCGAGGGGACGTCCTGGCCAATGCTGATGAGACCTGGTATCTCCGAGTGACCCTGGAGGTGGCGGCAGGGGAGGCTGCTGGGCTGTCTTGTCGAGTGCAGCACAGCAGTGTAGGAGGGCAGGACATCGTCCTCCACTGGGGTGAGAAAGGACGGGGCCCAGGCTGGAGACTGGGAGTGGAGATCTTCAACTAAAGAAGGAAGAACAACTGAATATATTGGGGATTTTTAGAGAATCCAGATTCCCAAAGAAAATGAATATATCACTGAAGGAATCGAAGAGTTAAATGAGAGACCCACGTGTGCAGGAAGGTGTTGTGAGTTATGCGAAAGATCTATCATTGGAGTAGAGAGAGTGGAAAGCAGAAAGAAAGGAGACTGATGAGGTCGCCAGTCACACGGACAAAAGAAGTCCAGATTAATGCTGGAAAACAGAGGCTGAAGTATGAGATGGATTTGAAATAACACCCTTGCTTTCCACCAGAATCCACAGAACATCACACTTCCCTGGGTTTTGTCTTGGTGGCAGTGAGAGTGTCCCTGGCTCTTCTCATGGGTGTTGTGAGTTCTTTCTATCTGCTGTCTTCTCCTTCTTCTTCTTTCCTCACCGATTTGTCTCCTTACGCCTTTTTCTCTCTCCTAATTTTCCTACTCCCTTAGTCTCATTCCTCTGAGTTCTCAGTCTCACATCCAACTCAGGAAGACCTATTCTTCTTTTCATTCTCTTCCATTTTATATAGGGTGCATTTTTCAAATACTGCCCCGCTGAAATGCGGACCCAGCTCTCCAGCTGGTGTGTGCCCAAGCCTGATCTTCTGCCTGAACATAACGTGATGATGACGTTTTTCCCATTTTCCTTGTGAAACTTTTGTTTTTGTGCATGGCTGCTTAATGATCAATTCTCCATAAAATCTGAAGTGATTTTGCAGGGTTTTCTCTTCAGAGTGGAGTTACTAAATTTTAAAAGTCACATTTTGATTATGAATAAAATAGGGTCCAGGCATACTACTGGTTCACCAGGAACATTTCTGAGGCCAGGTTCTCCAGAAAGCCTCCCCTGACTCACGCTGGGAAGCGGTGTCTCCGTTGTCTGAGCTCCCCCACGTATCAGCTGTACTGGTTTTATTTTTTTGCAGCTTTAATTGAGTTTATTGGTACATTTTAGGGATACAGTACAGTTACATTCATTGTTGGGGTCTTGTACCTCTACATGACAAGTCTTGGTTCTCATTTTTTCCCCTTACCTCTGCCCTCCCTTCACCCCCTCCTCCCCTCCCCATCTACAAACACTTTATTTTCATCTTTTCATTCTCTCACATTTTTTCTTTTCCCTTTTTACTCTTCCCCTACCCATCCCACCTTCCCTACACCTTTAGCTCCTTTCTTCCCATTTCTAAATGTCAGTAATCTTATTAGAATCTTATGCATTGTTGCAGATTATTCACATCAGGGAAACTATTTGGTATTTACACATGTGTGACTTATTTATTTCACTTAGGAGTATATCCTCAATATGTATCCATTTTCCTATGAATGAATCTATTTTCTCGTTCTTTATGGCTGAGTAATATTCCATTTTGTACAAAAACCACAACTTGTTTATTCAGTTTCCAGTGGATGGCCAAATAGGCTGTTTCCAAGATTTAGCTATTACAAACTGTGCAAATCCCAAAGTCTTCCTTTGTAGTTTTAACAGGGTCAGAGTTTTAACACAGATGCAACTTTATTTTTGCCTTGCTTTAAAAACTTAGTGGTTATTACAAACTGCCCCACTATAAACATGGGTGCACATACTTCTCTGTGATATGATTCTTTTAGTTCTCTTGGAAAGATACCCAGCAGAGGGATGGCTGGGTCAAATGGAACCTCCAGCCCAAGCTCTTTGAGGTATCTCCATATTGATTTCCATAGTGGTTGCACCAGTCTGCACTCCCACCAAAAATGGAGAAGGGTTCCTTTCTCCCCACAACTCCACCAACATTTGTTATTGTGTGATTTTTTGACAGCAGCCATTCTTTGTGGGGTGAGGTGGAATCTCAGTGTTGTTTTCATCTGCATCTCTCGAATGACCAGTGATGTGGAACATTTTTTCAAATATTTTCTTGCTGCTTTTACTTCTTTGTCTGAGAAATGTCTGTTCATTTCGGATGCCCATTTTTGAATCGGGTCTTTATATTTGGGGAGACTGATTGTTTTGAGTTCTTTTATATCCTTGATAATAGTCCTTTGTCTGAGGAACATCAACTGTACTTTTTAACTGTGTGCTTCATTTACTAACCTCCATGTCACATTCGTAGGGCCCTCCCCGCTTTTAATTTTCCAGTACGTGTCTTTTTAATATCTCTATTCCTGGTGAAATGTTTTGCTCACGTGTGACATGTTCTCCATAAAAATCTGCGTTGAATTTAAACCAACTTTGCAGTCTTTTAAAAATTCTCTCTTCTTAATGCCTGTGTAGTGGGTGAGACATTTGATGCTCCTCTTGTTTAAACTCCTCTTCCTTGTCCAAGAGTCTCCACATTTTCTTAGTTCTGTCATTTTTATTCTCTGACTCTCCAGGAAAAAGCCCAATTTTGCTTCCTATCACTCTTCGTGTCCAACTACAGAGAGTTGTTTGAATAAAATCATTGCCCTCTCAAAGTGAGATCTGGGCAGCATGTAGACCCTTGCTATTCAGTATGTTTCTGGGATAAGAAGCAGAGTCACCATCTAAATTCTTACTTTCTTTCTTTGTTTTTGGTACCGGGGATCAAACTTAGGACCTTGCTCTTGCGAGGCAGGGGGCGGAAACACTGAGCTAAATCCCCGGTCCTCAGTTCTTGTCAAAAGTATAGAATCTGTTTCCGGATCTCAGACTTACTGAATTATAATTTATGTTTTAACAAAATCAGCAGAAGATTCACAGTGCATTAAAGTTTGAGAAGCATTGATGTAGGTGGTACAAGTGTGTTATAGAAGAAATGAAAAAGGTAAGATTATTGCTCCGCAGGATTGATGTAGGGTTAAAGTAAATAATGTTTATATAGTACATTTTCATTTTTAAAGAAGCTATATTCGATATGGTCTATGCAAACAAAACAAAACAAAACAAAAACAACAACAAAAAAAAACCCCAAAACAAAAAACAAACCCAAAAACAAAAAAAAACAAAAAACCTTGAATAATAATCCCTCAGCCATGTTTGTAGGGGAAATTCAGGTTTATAATTCTGAGTTTCTGTTCATAGCATTTTTGCTCACTGATTAATGCACACTCCTTTATTTGTGTGAATTTGTTTTAAAATATTTTCACATATATTTAAAAATAACTTATTATATGCAGTAATTCCTTTTAGTAGAACAGTAAGAGGTATTCAGCATTTTCCTGACCTGAATAATGTGATCTTAAATTTCTACGTTCTCGGCCTCATTATGCTGTCTCACATGTAAAACAATCATGTATAGCTCTTACCCTCTCAGATGTCAGAAATACACTTGTCATTACGTATCTTAGTTGATACGTAGCCTGGTTCTTGTGTTTGATAGTAGGGAAAAGAGATTTTTGTTGTTGTTGTTGTTCTCTATACTATGATGTAGGGTATACAGCATGGATTGGCTCAAGTTATTTGTTCAGAAAATTGAGCCTATGGATGAAATCTTATAGGAAGAAGGCAGAGAGCAGACTCAGATTGAACTGTACCTGAAGCCTGAATGAACCCTGGATTTCTTAGCCATGTCAGCCAATTCATTTCCTTTAGCCGCTTAGCTCATTCATTTGGGTTCCTTTTGTTGGTGATTGAAAGTTTCTTACCTGGAGTACTCAGATGCTGGAGTTTCTGTTGAATTTTATTTCTGTCTTCTTGTGCTCCTTAGGTTGACTATTCATTAAAATTGATTTATTTCTTTTCATTTATTTTTCTAACGTGTGCCCTTATTTTGTTAAACTTTTTATGCTGTTTTAACTATGACATCTGAGTCAATCCTCCTGTACGATTATATTTTTGTCCTATCACTGACCAGAAATCAAAGTGGCAATTATGCTCCTGGGTAAGGGAATGATTTTGGAAAAATTCCCTGACCTTCTGTATTTTCTTCAGATACATGGAGGAAAAATTTATTCCCTCTGGGTTTTTGTGGAGGTAAAAAGACAATCTAGTACCAGCATTTAATAAATCATGACATATGACAATGACACTTAAATAATCTACACATAAGACATTTCCCCATGGATTTCCACTTGACAAAATTCACTCATTAATTTGCCCATCCATTCATTAATTCACCACACATTCAGCTTTTATTATTTGTATGGCAATCATATTCATGGAGTGATTCCAAAACTGTATGAGAAGCAACCATGGCTTTTAGGCACTGACAATTCTGTATAATGAATTGTCTCAAATTCTAAGCTAGTTCCTCCTTTAAAGCATATGTTTCATCATTCAGTCAGACCTCATACATTTTTGTTGCTTTTGTTTCCCAGCTTTTCTGCTTACTAAGTCATTGTCTGCAAAATTCTCTGAAAATTGTTTCTTCCTTTGCCCATTGGTGGGGCTTATCAACCTCCACATAGGATAAAAATCATAGCTGTCTTCTTTCTAATGATATATTCTTACTGTTTTCTTAGGTAAGAACTTTGCATCAACCATAACTGGTTCATGTTTCAGGAACAAAAGTTTCTTCTAAATAGATTTTTTTTTTATCAAGAAAGGGTTGGACATGCATCTATAAATCATAAGGCAGGTTTACTGCTGGACTTGACAGAAAGTAGATGTGCATATAAACTTCCTCAGTCATCACAAAGGGAAGGACTTGGGTGAATTGTCAGAGTTACTAGGCAGAGCAGGGAAATGGGTAAGAAGAGGAGAAATAAGCAGCTCCATTTGTAGAAAAGTGTCCAGAACTGGTCCTTGTCCCTCTGTCCAACTTGCATCATCTAATTATTTGATTTGATAGTAATTTGATCACGTTTAAATATAAGATTTTAAAATAAGAACTTGAATAGTAATATGTAAGTTATTGTTTGATGTTTTTCTAATTAATTGATTAATTAGGCTGTATTTTTGTCCTTAATTTTTATTGGTATGGAAGAGAATTCCTTGAAGGCAATAGAAAAATGTGACTGGGTTATAGTAGTTAGCTTTGTAAATAAGAGATCATGGCAACTGCAAAAAACACACATAAAAATTAATAAGTGGACATTTAAGAATGTATTTGCAATTGTCAAAATGAAATGGTGTATATACACAATGTTATACATAATGCAAACTTTTAAAAATAAATAAGCAAAAACCCAAACATTACATAATGAACAAAGTATGTGATTAAGCCATTCGCGGCTGATAACCCCCCAAAACTAAGCATACAAACTATATCCAAACTTTCTATCAATTAAAAATGCAAATTAAAGTAAGGTCGCATTTCACGCCACTAAATCTGCAAAACCAAAAGGCTAGAGAAGCCCAGTGTCTGCAGGGAGGCAGGATAGGTGCGAATCTTCACGCACTGATGGAGGTGAAATGGTTCTGGAGAATTCGTGGTGGTGTCTTTTCTCGGTGTGTGCACAGGCATCTTGCAGTCCCACTTCTGACCACGTCTGTCAGAAAAAGTTCACACAGTGCCATGCGGAAACGTGATGATGTGGGTCATGGCATTGTTAGGTGTGTACAGTTTTGAAGCATA